GGGTTTTGGATGAAGACAGTGGCATGCACAGTTGAATGTTAAGCCTATCTGCCAGTCCGCATAAGAAATGTTAACATTAAACAAAGTTCTGAGATGCTATTATATTTTGATCTTGACTTGCACAGTCATAACATTTTGAGTAAGAAGCTTTTAATGCCTAAATCTTAAATTTTTACACTTGTAGAAAATAAGTTGATATGGAAAATCTAGGAAAAAAAATAACCAGATTGGCTCAATTCCTTCCAAGCTTAAATGCATGTGAAGAAAATAACATGTAACAACATATTAGGTGGTGAGCTAGCTATTTGATTAAATGGAATAAAGCTCATCAGCTATCCATCCGTTCTCCTGCTGTCTCCTACTGGCACACTGCCTGTTTTGTAATAATTTTAATAGAGGCATCCCATATCTCCTGGTGACGTATCATTGTGCAACTCCTAGGGGGTTAAATCTTGGAACAACTGGGTTATAACCTGACTCTGCATCTCCAAACCATTGACAAGAAAGTAGAGTTGTCTAGTTGTCTATCAGCTATTTTAGGTGGGTCTGGCTTCTCACAGCAGGAACTACAGATGGACTCCCTCCCTAAAGATCAACAAGGGAGGGAGAATTTCTCATACATACACTCACCCCTGTCAAAGGGCTTATGTACCAGTGCTTTATGGTTTTATTGGCAGGGGGCGGGGGTAGACAGTACTGTAATATTGACATACTAGCATGTTGGCCATGCAGATCAAAGGAGTGAAAATATGTGCGTGTCGGAGGGTTTGTTTTCACACTGGCAGTTGTGCTTTGTTGCTTGCTGATTTGAGTTGCAGGAGTGGGTGGTTTAGGACTATAAGATCCTGGGAACTCTAGCCCTCAGTCAGTGAGCAACATTAGCATGAGCCTGACTTGGGGCATCTCAGTGGCCCTACAACACTGAATGCAGTGAAAGCACTTATTTAAAAACAAGTTCAGTATGCACTCCTGTGCTGAGAAGTTGGGTAATCTCCAGCCTCAAATTGGTGAAAGAATGATCAAATCACAAGCCCAGTAGCAAAGATTTTAATAAGTTGTTCTTGGTGGTGGTGGTGGTATGACATGACTGGATAATAGCAAAGACGCAGGAAAGCGTTCTGGATAGTTACTGGGCCATTAGCTTAACCTCAAAAGAATGCAGAGCTTTAAAACAAAATTTGAAGGGGAGATTAAAGACCTAGGGATAAACTGAAAATGGGATCAAATGAAATATAAATTGACCAAGGGTAGATTATGACAGGCTAACTTGATACCTTTTTGATAACTGATGTCCCCCCCCCTTTCCCCCCAACAAGGGCATTTCAATAGAGCTTTTATATTAGGACTCCACTCAAGTTGCATCTAGGAAATTATGAGTAAAGATGAAGGAGGTGAGGATAGTAAGAAAACTGTAAAGTATGTAGGGAACTGGTGAAAGGAGACAGTGTGTCTTGTACTGAAAGGAGATTTGTTGGGTTGGAGGGAGGTTGCTAATGTAGCTCCTCAAGGCATGATTTTGCAGTGAGTTTTTCATTTAATATTTCTGTTAATGACCTTGACACCCGGAGTCATAGTGTGTTAATGAAATTTGCTGATGAGATAGTTGGGAAGCATCACCGATACACAGAAGTGTCAGTATCATACAGGGAGAAGTGAGTGATTTTTGAGGACTGGAGTAGTAGGAGATGGATGAAATTTAATGGTACAAAGTGAAGGTCAGAGTTCCTGCGATAAGGCAGGTTCTTGCCAATTGAAAACGATCAAGGGAAAAGATTGAAATGTATTGGTCTGTCATAGGATAAATTACCAATGTGATATGGCCCTGAAAAGGGCAAGTGTGATTCTAGGATGTGTTGGGCAACACATTCCCATTAGAAATGGAAAAGCATTAATATTTATACAAGGGGCTGGTGTGGGGGGCCAGTAGGGGGAGCTTCTGCACTGAGCCACCCATCTCACTGCGTCTGGCCAGAAACCAAGCTTCAAGTGCCTCCCCTGAGGCACCTACATCTAGCCAACTCCCTTCCTGGAGTACACCTGCAAGCCTGGGGTACTGCTGCCACCACCCAGGCTCGGGTCTTTGTCAGGGCCCCATGCCACCTGGGATACTGACCCTGTAGATGTAAGGGTTGCTTAACCCCCGCAGGATACATCTGGGTCCTTCTTATAGCCTGAAGCATAGAAAGTAGCCTCCCTTAGTCAGCTGAGTAAAGGGAGCAAGAAGATCTGCCCAATCCCTCTCAAGCATGTACAACAAGGCTGGCTATAACAGATAGCTTTATTGGGTAGAGAGGGTAGGCATGGGGATGGGTACAAGTCACAGCAGTAGCAAAAGAATAACCCTGAGGAAACAGAAGCAACTTGGTAACCTTTTGATATACAACTGGAGTACATTAAATTAAGTTCCTAGTTAAGTTTCTAGTAAGTTAGTTACTTCTGCATCCAGCAAATGAGAGAGAGCTGTGGAGGTCCATGAGTCCATGTGTGTGTTTTAAAATGTCCTCCTCTTGTTCCTGGAGGGGTCCTCTTAAATAGCCCTCCATGACCCCACCACCTGGACCTAGTCAGGGAGGGGTGTCATTTGATGCCCGCCAATCAATGTGAAAAACATCACAGTTACCTAAGGGAGCGACATGGGCTTAAGCCCCTGTCCCTATGCCGTGAGGTCAGAGCTCAAAACAATGGAGAGGTTAAATCCACACCCTCTTACCTGAGGCCGGTCACGTATGCACTGGCAGAGAGTTGGCTGCCTAGAAACCGACTGATAGATTCGTGAGAGTGAGAGGGGAACAGACAACCCCAAAGGGAGAGGAGGCTGGGAGGGAGTTCATTCACAGCAGGTACCTGTTGTACTGATAATTCCTCATCTGTGTAAAATTTTGGTCACCCATGTTCAAAAAAGTAGAATTCAAATTAGAACTGGTGCAGAGAAGGGTTACCAGGGTGACTGGAAAAAATGGCGAGCCTGTTTATGGGAGGTAACGGATTGGCTTATTTAGCCCAGCAAATAAAGTCTGAGAAGGAGGTGTAGTTTCATAGTTTCTAGGGTCAGAAGGGACCTTAGCAGATCATCTAGTCCGACCCCCTGCCATGGCAGGAAAGAGCACTGGGGTCAAACAACCCCAGCAAGGTGTTCATCTAACCTCTTCTTAAAAACCCCCAGGGTAGGAGCCTGCACCACCTCTCTTGGAAGTTGGTTCCAGACCCTAGCCGCCCTGACCGTGAAGCAGCGCCTCCTGATGTCTAACCTAAACCTACCCTCTGCCAGCTTGTGACCGTT